TTGATTTTTGTTCCCCCCCCCCCCCCCCACACACACACACAAAAACGCTTTGTCATCCCAGTCCCAAAAGGCAACCGGTGCTAGTCATACTGAGCCGCTACTGATTCATTTAAGAGCGTCAGGCTGCACGCTGTCAGTGTTACTTCCTGGCTCACAAAGGGTTAATGTCGGAAGATACTTGTGTCCTGTTTAGAGGAGAAGCGCGATGAGACAGATTCCAATCTTAACAACCTCGCCACATTGTTGACACGTTGGAGAAGAATAATTTTACACACAGAAAAAAAGCACATGTTGATGATCTTCTCGATGAGACAATTCAAGGGGGAACATGAACTCTCCCCCCGACCCCCAACACCTCTGCAGAATTGTGACAGCTGCCTCTGAATGACCGACTCAGCACAAAAGGAAAAAGCCCCTTCTGGTGTTTGAAGCAAAGAAAGTGGACAGGCTGTGTAAGTTCGGCTTTACTGATGAACTGATTAATTCCCCAAAACACAATTGGGCCGGTCTGCTCCCCATCACAATGAGCAGAAGACATAAAAATGTAAGGTGAAATTGAAGCGTCGGCGCACTCTCTCAATTCGAGCCGGGCATCGCCAGAAGACGAACGCGCTGACAGTTTGTCAGCGCCAGGGCGGTCGGGTACGCAATTCATGCAGTGGACCGTAACTGCTACTTTTAATGCTTGAAGAAACAAACATTTCCTTAAGCAAACGGACATGTTGTGCTTTGCCACTAAAATAAAAGGACACTTGCCAGATAGTTGTAGGCTCCAACAAGCCAAAGGATGAGGTTATGTTTACATGATGATTTTTTTTTTTTTTTTTAGTTTGAGTGAGAATTTCTTGGTTTGTTGAAGTTTCGGATTACGCTACAACTGCCGAACGTATTTCGACCCCCACCCCCCCCAAAAAAAAGATGGCAGGGTGTGGCATGGCCCAGGGAACAGACCATTAAAAGCTGGTATGCGTCCACTTCAATTTCAAAAACGCCCATCCAACAAAGATGCAAGGTATCACTTATTTCTCCAGTTGGTATTGGTTTATTTAAAAACTGTTTTAGTCACAACATTTTGGTACCAGTCAACAATTCGCAGTTGAAAGAGTGCATTTCTTTTGCTGGAAAATGACGAGCAAGCATTTGGGGACTGACCTAATCTAAGTCACGAGAGGTGTCGTATTTTGCCCCTCAACATATTGATCCCATAAAAATGTAGCGCCAAAATGAGACTCTTTGGTTGTAGCTTACAAAATAATTATTTGTAGCTTAACAATGTTTACAAACTGTTTACACGTGTGTGTGTGTGTGTGTGTGTGTGTGTGTGTGTGTGTGTGCGTGTGGGAGAGGGAGTGGGTTATCATTTTGGTGTCAGTACTGCAGAGTGGTCTTGTTCTGGGTCTCGCCCAGCTTGTCGACAAAATTCAGCTTTGTCGACCGCTGTATTGATAAACAGATCCCTGTAGATGGCAGTATTGCACCGCTTTGGATTTGAGCTCAGCACAGCTTCTGAGTCGAAAATAAAGATTCGATATTAAATCTTGCCTTATCAATTTGATTATGAGAGAAACGGCAACGCCTTGGAAGTCGGAAAGTTTGGGCACCTGACACTCGAATGGGGTATATGCATGGTACAAAGAGAGCAGCAGAGAATGTGTCACGGTAGGTCATAGAAAGTGCATGTCGCCATCGTGGGAAATGATGACGCAGTTCATTGAGCCAATGGCCAAGACTATGTAAATCAGCACATTTCATAGTTGAAAAGATGCAAAAAAGCCAACCCTCCAGGAGAGGGATGCCAGGTTTTTACACTCCGTTGCATTGCAAATATTTGTTGTTCTACGTTTTACAACATAGAATCACAAATGCCAGGAATACATGTGGGCTTTTTTTTTTTTGTTGAGCTCATCTGCAGCTGATGTTCACAAACATCCTTGCCGATTGATTTTTTTTTTTCCCCTTTTCTTCCATCCAGTAAGTAGTATACATCAGCCACTACTATCTTGAATTGTTGTTTGGTCTTGGTGGAGGTCTGGCGCTCTCGGGCAAGTCTTGTTTCTTCTGTGTGTCGGCCCAAGGGCAGCCCTGACATCAGGGCGGCCTGAGCTTAACTACAAACAACAAATCGGGTTCTGAGGCCTCGGAGCAGGATCTCGCAGTGAGCCAGTCATCCTCACAACTGGGCCCCCGGGGCCTAACTGAGCACAGGATACGAGGAGCGCGCCCAGGATATGCAAATATCACCCCCGCCCCGCACCCCGTCAGAGCACACAGGGCTCAAGCTAAAAAAGAAGCGCTGGCAATGGGCGACGGGAGTGATTGACAGCCGCATGGATGGAAAGGGCTTACGCAAGTCAGCCATGTCAAGAGATGAAAATTTAATGATCCACATCAGCCCTGAACACACACGAAAAGCTAACTCGCCTCAACTGCTTTTATTCTAATCGCTCTGTCGTAGCCAACATTGCTACGAGCAGCCAAAGAAATGAACGTCGCCGTCAATGAAGCTCATGACTATTCAACTGCGTTCCCAACCACATTCAAATGTGTGCCACCAAAGGCCATATCTCACTGAGCTGCGAAGGTTTGCAAGTGTGTGTGTTGTTTTCGTCGAGGATCATTCAAGGTCGCAAACGGTCACAAAGACATTCGGCAACAATCTGAATGGTCTCAAATCCAATTTTTTTTCTTGTTGCAGAGAAATTTGGGACTAGCAAATTGAAACGATAGTTATTCAAGGACTGAACATTTGCGCAAAGCGCAACAGGACGCAAATTGATCAGAGACGCTCAAAGTGGCTGCAGAGGCCGCGAACCCTGAGTGACGTGACGAGATTTTTCCGACGTAGGTGGCGCATCGCAGAGACGCGGCGGGGCGAGATGGTCGGCAGCTGTGCGCAGCGAGCCCATGTGCGCCTGCGGTGACATTTTCTCCTCAAGCGCGGCATGCTGCTGAAAACCCACACAGTCAGCCGCCCGTCTACGGACAACAGTGTTCACTCAGCATCTGCGAGATCCTTCGCAGGAACACAATGTCGCCTTGCGATACGAGCGACCTGATCAGTCACTTCAGCGGTTTGGCAGATGGGGAAGGTGCCACCTACCCACCCCCTTTTTTTTTATACTGTTGTACTACATTTAGATTCTATTTTGAAAACTGCAAACGAAGTTATTAAGCCAAACATTTCGAAAAAATAATAACCGCAATGCCATGCAACTGCAATCATTTTATGTCTTATCTTATGTCAAGGCATTTGCAAACTCCTCCAAAGGTTACAGGGAGAAACCAGTCGGACGGGTCTTGTCACAATCTGCCCTAATCATCAATCCTTTTCCCGGGGGAGTCTCGTCCGTGTTTGATGGCCCTGGGGTCCTGCACACCTGCGTGGGGTTGACACCCATCAATCCAAACACTGGCCCATCACGTTAGAGGATCTCACCGCATTTAAACAAGACAACGAAAATGACTCAACTCGTATCTTGAACCTCAGCCCATATTTTTTCAGCCTGCCTCAAAAGTGGAGTACAACAGTCCATTGTCGTCATGCCTTCGGAGTTGATTCAAAGCAAAACCTCATCATGACTCACGCTACAAACGAGGGGGGGCGGGGGGAAGGCCTTCCAATAGTTGATGCATACATGATTAGAACAATGTGAACTGCTCTGCTTTTCCAAACTGTGACCTGAGAATGTCATCGGTATGGCAACCAACATTTGTTTTGTCATGACTTTGGCAAAAGTTTTTTTTTTCCCTTTCACCCAAATGGGCAGAAAAGCTCACACGTTACTCATATTGAAATGTATCTTTATTTCAAATTTAACAGGTCAACCTCAGGCAGCATGTGCTGACACACCAATTTAAAAGATTAGTTATTCTTACGATCATTACTTTGGATCAATTCTACAAATGCATTTTGAATACTGTTTTTGTGTATTATTCGTAGTGAGAAAGTGTCTGTGCGGGAAAACTACAGGTGTCATTTCAACGGGAGCGCGGCGTGCGCGCGCGCACACACACACACACACACACACACACACACACACACACACACACACACAGACAGACAGACAGACAGACACACGCACGCACAAAAAGCTGTCTCTCTCCCATGATGTCAAACCCATGGTTAGCTGATCCAGATCCAATAGCTGCACCTGCGCCCAACATCAACCTCTTTCTTTTTGGTTTCTGGGTGGGGTTTGCCAAACCCAAAACAAGAAAAGAGGCCACACTTTTCAAGACGATTATTGCAAATTCACAATCGCTCAAGTCGAACGACGTTCCTGCCAAGCACGGTTAAAAAAGCCAAAGGCATAACAAGTGCAGTGAAATCAACAAACTGTTCTTAAAAAGTCCAGAAAACATCATTGTAGACAGAATTAAGAAAATGAAATACCATAAAACTTAGTAAGACTTTCTTTTAGCTGCCCGAAAAAGGAAGCAACTCATGATGACAACGAGAAGCTGCATCAAGTACAATAGTAGCGTAAGACAAAATAAAACTTCTCGAAACACTAAGGTCCAAATCTGTCACCCCGTGAGAAATTGGTTGGTCCAAAAGGTGCCGTGACTCCAGGTCAAGTTTCCGTCAGTCTTGCGTGAGGAGACATTTGGTCTACCTGGTGAAGGCTTTTCTCTGATTGGCCCTCACAATGTCATCCGGCGAAGGCGTGTCAAAAGCAAAAGGGACGATGGGCTCAAGTTGCCCACCACAATGCTCTCTGGCTGCGCGGCCGCCTGCCTTCTGCCCGACTTCACCAAGCATTTTGACTCTTCTGTGACGTCGGCAGCTGCGGCACGTCAACGTGATGGCAAAGACGGACGGTCGCGCAAAGACTGAAGAGTTCACACCCAAGGCGAGCGGCCCGGGAGAGGGCGGTGAGGGGAAATCCTCAATGATGGCCATTAGCGTGCTCAAATTCATGCTCAGATTCGACCTCGGGATGTCGACCTTGCAGCTGTGCTCGCTTTTGGCCTCGCCTTTCCGAGCGCTTTCCATCAGCACCGGTGAGCTGAGGAAGTAGTGCGACCCATTTGAGGCCGCCGAGGTCAAAGGTGTGGCAGCGAGCGGCTCCGGGAGGCCCGGCGGTCGCTCGGGCACACCTGCATCCTGAGGGGCCTCCGCCACAGGGCTCGTGGTGCGGTGCGGCAGCGCTAGCTCGGAGAGCGACACAATCCCGTCCACGTTTAAGTCGGCGTTTTGCCGAACCTGGTTGACTCTGCTTTGGTGCTGCGAGGCGAGCTCGGACAACGAGAGAGTCGGCGTTGGCCCACGTAATCCTCCCGACGCGTTGTCACAAGAGTCCCCGAAAATCGGGCTTCGGTGGGAATGCTCCTGGATTAAATCGGCCAATGACGGGCTGCCCTGAGGATGGCAAATTGAGAGCTCGCTTCCCCCTGATTGTCGATTGTGCACGACAGGAGCCAAACACCCGAATCCAGGAGGAGGAGTTGGAGTTTTTACGCTGGGTGGCGTTATGGAGAGGCAACTTAGAGAAGCCGAAAGCGGCAAAGGAGCCGACAAAGATGCTAACGTGCCCAAAGATGTGGTATTACAAATAATAGACGGAGCATTCAGGGACGGAGCGGCCAAACCAGGCCCCTGGTCGCCCACTCCCATCCATTCACTTTTGCGCTCATGCTCAGAAATGAGCTGCGCCAGGCTCGCGCCGCTAGCGCCAAGCCCGCTAGCATTCGGATTTTGGCAACCGCCAAGCGTCGTAAGTGGGGACAAAATGTCGAGCGGGTAAGGGATTGCGAGCACGTCAGGCCTGGCCGGCGCGGCCACCACGTCTGATAGTGAAGCAAACAAGTCGGCTCCTTACCTTACGGAAGCCGATTGCAGTTGGCGAGGAGGAGGGAGATGCGCACAGACCACCCAGGAATCACACCATCAATCCAGGAGAAGGCAAGAAGGGGGAAAACAAGAGGCACTTTGTTAAAAATGTGCCTTAAATGTGTGTACATCTTTATTTCAAACGCACATTTTTTTTCTTCAACAAAGTTGATGTGGAAATGACTGCATCTTAGCTATACTGCTGCAACAGTTAGAACCTTGAAAGAAGGCCCATGTGTATTTGCTTATTTTTAGCCGATTCTTTCGCTGCAAGCAATCGTCGTCTTCATCTCACTGACAGACATCATTGAAATATGATATTCATGGAAATTGAGTTTAATTCAGTCAAATTTCCAAGGTGCAGGGCTGTCTAGATCTCTACATTTCACAGTGGTTAAACCGTTTGATAAAATCGATGAATCTTCATTATTATATAGAAATAAAAACAAATAAACAACAACAACACGCTGGTGCAGTTCATGAAGGTTTTAAAATTATGTCATATAGTAAGTTCATTAAAAATAAGACGGGGATTTTTTCCCCCCTAAAAAGGTACATATAATTTTATTATAAGGCGCTCACGATGCAGTTTGAACATGAACGCTGCACTTAAATATACGAGAACAAAAACTGTACATTCAACCTGTCAAAAAAAAAAAAAAAAAAAAACAGAAAAAAAGCGACTGAAAGCAAATGCATTGTCCTGCAAAAAAGAAATAGTGTTTTGATCACAATTTCCCAGTGTTCTAATTGAAAACAACTACAATACCTTTCTCAATCATGGCTGCCTGCCTGCTCCTTTGCGGTAACGGTGCTTTCTCGACATCAGCACCGGTTCGGTTGGGGACGGGGGCCCTTTTGGGGTCTTCGGACAGGACCGCATCCAGCGCCTTCTGTGCATCAAAGCCACATCTTATGGCTGCCTGGTTCAACAGGGAGTCAGGCATCGAGTCGCCCAGCACAGCCCTCATGTGGTCCAGGCAGGAGTAGAGCTTGGCTGTGGGGGCACAAAACACACGTGAGATGCCAAAAGTATAGATGAGGATAAGCTACAGTATCGCAACAATTACTGCCAAGGAGGACTTACTTCGTGTCCATTTTTTGTTTTTGTTTTGCCTAAAGTATCAGTTGCTGGTATCGGCAGCCTCCACGAGAACACGATACCTTAAAGCATAGGTGCCAAAGTCCGGTCCTCGGGGGCCGGTGTCCAAATGATCAGCTCTTCAGGAAGCTCTATAGGAGCCTGATAATGATCCTGATCATTTGAATCGGGTGTATTGCAGCAGGGAGACATGGAAAACATGCAGGACAAGGGCCCTTGAGGACCAGACTTTGACACCTATGCCTTAAAGTATTGGCCCAATACAAGTTTGAAAATTCAATGTTATACATGTACTTTTTATGCCATATGCAAAACAAAGGTGAATATGATTTTGTTAATTGTGACTGTTTCATAGTGATCACTAAGGCCGCTTGTCATTTTTTGGCCTGACCAATAAACTTAAAACAAATCACTAAAATCAATGAAGCACAAGATCACAGTGAACCAATTCAGTGAGTTAAGGATGTCACCTTGATCCAGCGGGTCAAGGTTGTGGCTGATGGTGGGGGACATGGGTACATCCTCTTCTTCGTATTCTTCCTCTTCAAGGGGCTCCTCCTTCGGC